GTACCGTCCTTCCTTCTCCATTATCTGCAATTGATATACAGTACATATACCCTATATACATACATGATGTGGGCACTTATCCTACTTTGTCTTTGCTTTTCCTAGCCCTATGGGATTTAAAGTTCAAGAGTTTAAGCCTCAAGCCCTATAGGGTTACAAGGTTCTGTTACTGTAGTGTTTAGCGGGTTTAGGGTTTAAGGATTCTAAACGTGAGCCCTGTAAGGCTTCCGGGTTTGTCGTTAAAACAGTAAAGGGGTTAAAACCCTACAAGGTTTCGGGTTACGATTTTTAAATTCCTAAGTCTTAAACCACAAAAGGGTAAACCATGTAGGGTTTAAGCCCTATAAGGGCTAGCCCCGATAGGGTTCTAGAGATACACCCTGAATAACCCTAAAGCTTTACATCCTATAGGGTTTAAATATTTCAACCTAAACCCTAAACCTTGAAACCTATAGAGTTTAAAGGCCACCTATTCGGTTTAAATACCTAACCCTATAGGGACTCTATAGGGTTTAAGGTTCAAGCCTTTAGGGCTACAGATTGAATGCCCAAGCCTTAGGTTTTAATCACTAGATCTTGCACCTGTAAAATCCTATGGGGCTTGCAGATTGTAATGCCTAAACCTCAAGGCTAAATTCCTAAACTTCATTCGCCTTCAAAACCTAAGGTCTGGGCATTTATACTTTTAGCGCCTTTAGGGTTAAGACCTTGGAACCTTCATAGGGTTTTAGGGTTCTGACCCTAAAGGGTTTAGGGTGAGGTTGAAATGTCTAAACCTTAAACACTTAAGGTTTAAACTCTATGGGCTTAGGTTTGAATGCATGAGTCTTAATTAAACCCTGAACCTTTACACCTTAAACCTATAGGGTTTAAAGGTTAAGGGCTTAGGTTCAATTGCCGGTTAAATGCCTGAATCTTAAACCTGTACGGTTTAAAAGTTAAGGGTTTTGGTTTAATTTCCGGCTTAGATTTGAAATCCTTACATCTTACACCCTAAACCTTTAAACCTTAACCCTATAGGGTTTAAAGGTTAAGGGTTAAGTTTAGTTGCTTAACCTTGAAACCCCATAGGGTTTAAAGGTGTAGGGTTTAAGGTGTAGCCCTAGATCCTATAGGTTTAAGGCATAGCGATTAAAACCCTAAACCTGTAGGGTGTCGGGGCTTCTCTTAAATCCTGAAAGCCTTAAAGCCTTAACCCCGATAGGGTTTTAGAGACAAGCCCAGCCCAAACAACCCTTAACCTTAAGAAAAAAACCCTGGAGCTGGAGCGGGAGCGGAGCGGAGCGGAGGGAGGGGGGGGGGGGGGGGGGGGGGGGGGGGGGGGTACCACAGGTCCCAAGGCCAAGTTGGAAGAACCCCCCGCCCCCCCCCCCCCCCCCCCTCCCCCCCCCCCACCTAAGCAACCCGACTGCCTATAAGCAACCCAACTGCTTCTAAGCAACACACCTAAAACAAAAGACAAACTCTTATACCTCATCCTCTGGATATGGAAATCTGAAACTCTCATCATGTAGAGATTGAAATGCGAATCTTGTTGAAGATGAGAGGGTAAGAATCTATACGAAAGCGTTAGAGGTATCTTCAACCCGATACGAAAAAGCTACAGGTGTCTTAAACCCCCACCCTTTGGAGGTAGATTCTCCAGGGGGGGGGGGGGGGGGTACCATATATATATACATATATATACATATATATACATATATATATATACATATATATATACATATATATACATATATATACATATATATATATACATATATATTCATATATATATATACATATATATACATATATATATATATATATATACATATACATACATATACATATATATACACATATACATATATATATATATACATATATACATATATATACATATATATATACATTATATATATATATATACATATATATATACATATATATATACATATACATATACATACATATATACATATATACATATATACAAATATTCATATAAACATATACACATATACACATATACACATATACACATATATACATATATACATATATATATACATATATACATATATACATATATACATATATGCATATATGCATATATACATATATACATATATACATAGATACATAGATACATAGATAATAGATACATATACATAGATACATAGATAGACAGATAGATAGATAGTGTATTATTTTTTTAAATTTTAAATAGCATATTATCATATACAATTTTCACAATAATAAATATAGGTAAATAACAATTGTTATATACATGTTTATATAACAGCATATGATTTATATCCAACCTCTGAAAACACAGACAGGCTGCTATTTGCAGTATTTGCAGTGTCTGACAACGCAGAAATGCTGCCATTTACAGTATCTGAAGCCTCTGAAAACACAGCAATGCTGCGGTTTAGTGCCCTTCGTTGCAGCGTTTGAAAAACCCAGAAATGCTGCTATATACATTTTATGTCAGAAATGCTGCTACGTACAGTATTTGCAGCCAGAAATTCTGCTATTTACAGTATGTGAAGCTTCTGACTACGCAGAAATGCTGCTATTTGCAGTATTGGAAGCCGCTGACAACACAGAAATGCTGCTATTTACAGTCTTGGAAGCTTCTGACAACGCAGAAATGCAGCTATTACAGTATTTGAAGTCTCTGACAACGCAGAAATGCTGCTATTTATAGTATTGGTACAGAATTTGCAGCCTCTGACAACGCAGAAATGCTGCTATTTACAGTATTTGCGAAGCCAAGCTGAGCCACACCTTTAAAAAAACGCGTCCGAGCCACACCTTAAAAAAAAAAAACCTCCCGCCTCCCTCTCTAAAGCCCCAAAGCTAAAGAGTTTAGCTCCTAAAGCCCAAACCCCAACACCAAAGCTAAAGAGCTAAACTCTTAAAATAGGCTAAACCCCAAAACTAAAGTCTTAGAGCCTAAGCTCCAAGGCGAAAGGCTCGACCTTCGCCAGGGCAAGGGTAGACAAGAAAGAACGGAACCAACCCCCCCCCCCCTCCCCCCCTCCTCCCCGCCCCCTCTCCCCTCCGAAAAGTTAGTGAAACAGGAAATCTGCCCAAAACACCCACGGCCACCCACAAATGCGCTTGGACCTACATGTACACCATAACCCCTGGCGCATAGCCCCTACTTCGATCCCCTATTCCCTCACCCCTCACCCTGATACCGAACACCCAACACCTTACCGAAACCCATCGCATTTGAGATGATGTTACATGACTGTATGTATATATATATATATTACTCTTTCTACAAGTAAGAAAGCTCTAGGAGCCCTTTGCCCACGCAGGTGCCACCTTCTTCGACCTCTCACCAGCGGTCATCGAAGGCCATGCGAGGGGCTTCGGCTTCAGGATTTTGTTCCCCTGATACGAATAGTCCTTAATCGGGATTATAGCCCCTATGAAGAATCCCTACTAAGGACTGTTAGTATAAGGGGGAACATCCCAAAGCTGTGAAAGTGCTTGAGAGTTTTGTGATTTTGGTTTTGGGGCTCAGGGGCTTTAATTTGGAATTTCGCATGGCTACTGCCGGTCGACCTCCCTTGTTCTTGATTTTGGGAGTTGGGTCGAGCTCCGAGGAGTTATAGCGCTGCACGGTTTCCTGGAGCTAAAGGAACGTTGAAGCAGTAAATCTCAGTTCCGTGACAAAAAACCTGGACCCCAAGCCCCGACATACATGGCTTAGAATAGTTTTACCCCAGAAGAGTTACCTGGAACTCGACTCCCACAAGCGACGGCGTGGTAGACCCCTGAACCCAAAATAACAATAGAAACCCTGAAACCCCACAACCCTTACACCCTCAAGCCCTAATCCCCAAACCCTGGAACCCCTTGAAAACCCCAAACCAATACTACGCCCTAAAACCCTTTAGTACCCTCTATATTCTGTAAGAATTATAAATACAAAATACATAAACGATATCTGTATATCAGCCCTCTAGCCCTTAAACCCTGCACCCTTGAAGCTTCCGAAGCTCCTCCTTGAGCCCTAATCCCTAAACCCTCAAGGCCCTAAACCCCAAACCCGAAAGCCCCAAGCCCTAAACCCTAAACCCTAAGCCCTAAACCCTAAACCCTAAACCCTGAAGGCCCTAAACCCCAAACCCCTAAGCCCTAAAGCCTGAACTCTAAGCCCCTTCAGGCAAAAGCACCCAGGGCAAGACCGGCTCCGCGCTTTTGGTTTACAAAGTCTTCATCTGCGCCCAGGCTCGGCCTTGGGGTTTAGGGTTTAGGGTTTAGGGTTTAGGGTTTAGGGTTTAGGGTTTAGGAATTGGGTTGTGGTTTCAGGGCTGTGAACCCCTTCAACTCCAGACACTCACACGGGCACAGGCTAGAAATTCATTGTCGGAAGTCCCTCAAACCCGGCCCGCAACTGCAAACCAGAAGTCCCAGACCACAAAAACTTGAGTTTCAAACCCTCAATTAAACATAAGCCGGAAACCCTGCACCCTGAACCTCGAGAACCCTGAGCCTCATGTGCCCTAAACCCTAAACCCTAAACCCTAAACCCTAAACCCTAAACCCTAAACCCTAAACCCTAAACCCTAAACCCTAAACCCTAAACCCTAAACCCTCATGTGCCTTGTTGCGAGGACATGGCGCCCTCGGTCATCTACATCGAGCCTTGGATGAACAAAAGGTGCAGCTCGCAGGGTCATGCCATGGATTCCTACAGGGTGGGGGCCCCCTAGTTATAAGTAGAGTTATAAGAGCCCTTAATTGGGTTATAAGGATCCTAAACTAGGTCATAAGTCCCTTAACTACAGTTACTATAGTAAGGAGGCCCCTCCTTGTACTATTTGCTGAAGAACCCCGGAAAAATGCCCTTGATACCCTTATGGGGAAGAATACTCTTGCCTTTTTGGGGGCTTAAGAACCCCCGAAAAATAGCGACTTTATTAACGCCCCTTGTTCCCCTTACGAGTATTCTTCCCTCTTGGGGAATCGGAAACTCAGTCCCAAAATTCCCAACGATGAGCCGCGATGGTATTGTCAATCGTGCTTTGAAAATCATTTGTGAGCCCATTTCGGCCCTGGACGTTGCAAGCGACACCCTAAACCCTAAACCCTAAACCCTAAACCCTAAACCCTAAACCCTAAACCCTAAACCCTAAACCCTAAACCCTAAACCCTGTGGATTCTGTCTTGTGAGGGTGTCCTGAGGGACGAAGTGTTGAGAATGGGAGCGCTTCTGTGAGCCTCAGTTCCTTTGTATGCCCTGAATAGAAACCTCACTCTCCGTGGATCCTAAACCCTGAAACCCTTCATGTGCGCCCTAGACCCGGAACCGCTAAACTAAACCTCTCTATCGGCAGCATACCCCGCTATTCTGACTTGTTGGACCCTGAAACCCTTCACTAAATGTCCTTAGCACACTGTGATCTGCACTCTATACTCTAAACTGTCAACCCTAACACTTCTAAACCCTGAAACCCTGAAACCCTGAAACCCTAAAACCCTAAAACCCTAAAACCCTAAAACCCTAAAACCCTAAAACCCTAAAACCCTAAAACCCTAGAACCCTAAAACCCTAAAACCTTGCAGTTATTAAAGCCCAACTCAGGACAACGTGGACCAGGTTTTCCAGGCGGCCGGAAGAGGGGGGGTTCCCGTCCCTGAGACGTTGCAGGGTTAGGGTTTAGGGTTCGGGGTGTGTAGGAGTTGAGTAGTCCGTAGTCGAAGCCCTAGACCGTAAACCCTAAACCTAGCGCCCATGTCTCCCTCTAGTAGCACGTACACCCAGCAGACCTAAATGCAAAGCTTAAGGGCAAGCAAACGCTGTTGCCATGAAGTGGCTGTAAGCCACTAGGGTTGGGTGTTTAGGGCTGAAGGTTTAGGGTTTAGGGTTGTAGGATCCTAACTCATGTCACGTCGCAGGGCAGATACAAGGGCCCTGAGTATGAGCCCTTACTGTTGGAAACATTAGATACGAAACACCCTGTAAAACCCGAAAGGGCCCATACTTCAGAAGCCTTTCAGAAAGGTAAGGGGCCATGTTTAGGGTTTAGGGTTTAGGGTTCAGGGTTTAGGGTTTAGGGTTTAGGGTTTAGGGCTTTCGGCTTAGGGTTTAGGGTTTAGGGTTTAGGGTTTAGGGTTCAGGGTTTAGGGTTTAGGGTTTAGGGTTCAGGAGCTTGAGCGCATGGGTAGTTCTCTGAGTTAGGGTGCCTTTTGGGTTCCCTCTTGCAAGGGTTTCCGTACTATAGGACCCAAAGAGGGGACCGAATGACGTCGAGAACTACCCATGGTTGTGGATTTAGGGTTTAGGGTTTAGGGTTTAGGGTTTAGGGTTTAGGGTTTAGGGTTTAGGGTTTAGGGTTGAGACTCTACAGGGTTTCGTACCTGAAAATGGTTTAGGGTCGGGGTTAACCTTGATAGCCCGGGTCCTTCTTTACCCTTTTTGTGGTGCAAGCAGCCCTTATACAGTAACCAACCCCCCAAAAAGGGTATCCTGATTAATACTGCTGGGGTACCAAGTAAAAAGAGGAATTAAACTTTCCGGAGCGTCTTATCGAGGCGTTCGGCAGTTGCTCCATGGCAAGTAATTGACACTAAACCCTGAGCCCTAAGCCCTAAACCCGAAACACCCGAAACCCTAACACTCTAAGCTGTCTCGACAAAGCTCCACTGCCTGTCAGGGGTCACCCGAACCTTGGGTGAAGGGTATTATGGAGTATTGCTGGGACGCCTTCCCAGCCCCCCCCACCACCCCCCCCCACCCCCCCCCCACCCCCCCCCCCCCACCCCCCCCCCCCCACCCCCCCCCCCCCCCCCCACCCCCCCCCCCAGCCCCTCCCAAACATCGCGACCCGAAGCGCCTCTTGAAATGCAGAAAGACCCGGCAAATTTGTTCCGAGAATGCCTCGAATGCTTGCGACTTGGACTATGATGATTCTGATTCTACTCATTGGCTAAAACCCTCAAGGCCCTGAACCCTAATCCCTAAACCCGAAACCGCAGTAGGCCACTGAATTCCTGAACCCTCAGTCGCTGAGTTTGGGTCCTCGGCAAGGCCACGAAGAAGAAGAAGGGCGGGGACTCGGCGACCGCCCCCAGTCGGATAAAGAAGGCTGGGTTCAAGGGTCTACTGGGGTTTAGGGTTTAGAGTTTGGGTTTAGGGTTTAGGGTTTAGGGAAACCCTAAGCCCTTTGCCATCAAAGGGTTGCCTTCAAGCCTAAGCCCTAGACCCTGCACCAACGTGTAGGATTCCGCTCTTTCGGTTTTGGGAGCCCTTGGGGTCTAGGATGCTTAGTTGGTACCCTTCTTCCTTTCCACGACTTGGATTCCCTGAAAGTAAACCCCATGGGTTGAGGAACCCTAAAGTCTAAACCCTAAAGCTCAAACCCTAAAGCCCACAGCCGTCATCGGGGTGTTTGTATATCAGGGCCGCCCCACTCCTTGACCGACAACAGGGCCTGCAATGACTCTCATCCCCCGAAACAACGCCCGAAAGCCTTCTGCCCTAAACCCTAAACCCTGAACCCTTAGCCCTAAACCCTAAACCCTGAACCCTAAACCCCAAACCCTCTGGAAGGACTTGCAGGCTGCCATCAACCAGGTGAAGCGATTCGATGAGGCCTGCGCAGGGATATGTTTCTTATTCCAAGAAGATTTGAAACGTTCAACTGCAGTAGGGTGTACAGGGCTCAGGGTTTAGGGTTTGGGGTTTGGGGTTTCGGGTTTAGGGTTTAGGGTTGCCAGACGAACAACACCGCAGAGACCACCACTCCTCCTAACATCCCGCATGAGCCCCAACAATGCAGTTTCAATACAGCAACCATACCATGGCAGAATATCACATGATCATATCGTATAGAAGCATCATGAGGCGTTAGTTTTGTGTTTGTTGCGGTTTGTTATGGAAGGTTGGGTTCGTATGGAAGGATCCAACCCGACCCCTCAAACCCCCAAACCCTAGACCCGAAACCCCGAACAAGAGTTCGGGTGTGTCGTGGTCCACGGGGCGAGTGTTTAGTTGAGGGTCTGACAACGTCGTTTGTGTTTTCTGCATGTTTCGGGCGTATGGGTTTAGGGGTTTATGGTTTCGGGGTTTTGGGTTTCGGGTTTAGGGCCTTAGTGGCTTATGGGCTCCTAGACTTCAACTGAAGGGGTTTTGGGTTGGGGTTTGGGCTTGGGGTTTAGGGTTTAGGATTTAGGGTTTAGGGTTTAGGGTTTAGGGTTTCGGCTGGACGCCATTTTTTCAAGAGGCCAACGAGCAAGATCGGATCCTCTTCATCGGCAGCACGTCCAGGTGCGTCAAGTGGGCGAATTGCCTTGGGTTAAGGGTTTAGGGTTTAGGGTTTAGGGATTAGGGTTTAGGGTTTAGGGTTTAGGGTTTAGGGTTTAGGGTTAGGGTTTAGGATTTAGGACTCACGACTTTGGGTCGGTGTAAGGGTATATACGGTTTGGGGATCAGGGTTGGGGTTGAGGCTCAGGACCCTAAATCCTAAACCCTAAACCCTGAACCCTAAAGCCTAAACCCATGACAGCCAAGATGGGTTCGTGTTTGTAGGCATGGAGAGGGCCAAGTTTCTCGAGTGAAGATTCCGCAGCAGCTGGCTTAGTGATATCGTGTCCACGTGTGCCCATCCCATATTTTCCGCGCCCCGGAGCCATGCCACGCCAGAGCGCCCGCACCTCCTCCAGCGCGCCTCAGCGAGCGGCGCCGGCGCCATCTCACGGCCGTGCCGCGCCAGCACCGGCCGCAACGCAGGCCCCTCCTCCTGCTCAGCACGCTCCGGCACCGGCACCTGCCGCGGCCGCCCCGGCAGCTGCGCCCGCGGCCGGCGGTGGCATGATGTCAGGCCTCATGGGCTCAATGATGTCTGGCATGGCAACGGGTACGGGCATGGCTGTGGCGAACCGTGCTGTGGACGCAGTGATGGGCCCACGCCAGACAGAGGTCGTGCACCGTCATGAGGGTGCTCCTGCTGCTGCCGCGGCGCCGGCGTGCCAGTTCCAGCAGGACCAGCTTGAGCAGTGCATGAAGTCCTCCAGCAACGCTGCATCGTGCCAGTCCTTCATGGATGCCTTGAAGTCCTGCCAGCAGGGCCAGTGAGCATGGCCCCCCCCCCAGCGTGTCACTGAGCGACAGGCATAGCTAGAGCACTTCAGCACCCTTACCTCTGCGCTGCATGCACAGGCAGCCTAGGATGCCCAGTAGTACCCTTATTCCCTCTTTGGCGGGTTTAGGTTCCCTTATGAACCCCTTTAAGCAAAAAAGGGCACCCTTTTTGAAGCCTAGGTTACTGGGCAGCCTAGCAGCAAGGCAAGTTTTGCACGTGCTGAATTAGCTTGTGTGAATGCCTGCCTCAAGCTTCTGCTGCGACAGCCGACAAACCACAAACAGCTTGACTGAGTGTCAAAGATCGGAGCGTCTGCAACATTCAAGGGTCCCTTTTTGGACACCCTAAATATTAGGTGCCTTATTGTACTAGGGACTCCAACAGGGACCATAATTTTGACAACCACCCACATGTTTTTGTGTCATGCCCATGTCGTGGTGAGATCCTAACTTTGATATTCAGACCTGCTGTTGGGACAACATGAACGATGAACAATCTTGATCAGAGTTGATCGGAGCACAGGCATTGGTTACACGCACTCTGCATCTACACATGCTATCGGCTTGCAAAGTGCCTTCGGTGACTGTGTGTCGCTGCAGTTTGCTGAACGCCTCGCAGCTTGCTCAGACCAAGCCAAATTTTCAACGTGTGCCCATCCCATATTTTCCGCGCCCCGGAGCCATGCCACGCCAGAGCGCCCGCACCTCCTCGAGCGCGCCTCAGCGAGCTGCGCCGGCGCCATCTCACGGCCGTGCCGCGCCAGCACCGGCCGCAACGCAGGCCCCTCCTCCTGCTCAGCACGCTCCGGCACCGGCACCTGCCGCGGCCGCCCCGGCAGCTGCGCCCGCGGCCGGCGGTGGCATGATGTCAGGCCTCATGGGCTCAATGATGTCTGGCATGGCAACGGGTACGGGCATGGCTGTGGCGAACCGTGCTGTGGACGCAGTGATGGGCCCACGCCAGACAGAGGTCGTGCACCGTCATGAGGGTGCTCCTGTTGCTGCCGCGGCGCCGGCGTGCCAGTTCCAGCAGGACCAGCTTGAGCAGTGCATGAAGTCCTCCAGCAACGCTGCATCGTGCCAGTCCTTCATGGATGCCTTGAAGTCCTGCCAGCAGGGCCAGTGAGCTCGGGTAGCTACCTCTGGTCAAAGCTGCGTCACATGTAGGCACGGACAACCGCACTTCCCACCGCAGGCACACAGGCGGCGGATTTTGAAGTGGCGGGTTATCCCAAAGACCTGGCAACATCATGCGCGCGCACGTCAGCTCAAAAGGGGCTGCACAGCATGCCACTACTTGAAGGTTCATGATACTTTGTAGCCCCAAGCATAACTGTACTGATAACCCAATTACAAGCCTGTTGGGGTACTTGAGGGGCTTATATGTGGGTCACAACTACACTAATAATGGGATACCCTAAACCCTAAACCCTGAACCCTAAACCCTAAACCCTCTTATAGTGGGATACTAAGTACCCTGGCCCTGAACCTCCAAGTATCTGCTCAGCTCTCTGGAGGCCCCTTGCAGCTCTTTGCTCGCAATGCCCCACTTTGCAATCCTAGAACGTAGTAATTGGGTTTAGGGTTTAGGGTTTAGGGTTTAGGGTTTAGGGTTTAGGGTTTAGGGTTTAGGGTTTAGGGTTTTGGGACCCAAATTTTCCAGGAGCAGATGGTCACTTCCTAGATTGGGGGGTCGTTAAGGGCATTTGTTTCTGGGGATCCCTGCAAAGCTACATGCCCTTATCACGGGAACTGACCCCTAAACCCTAAACCCTAAACCCTAAACTCCTAGGAGGCCGAAGGCACGAACTGCTCCAAGATCTGATGTGGACTGTCAGGATGCAAGCCTAAACCCTAAACCCTAAACCCTAAACCCTAAACCCTAAACCCTAAACCCTAAACCCTAAACCCCCCCAGCCATAAACAAACACTATGGTCGGCTCTCGAAAATTCTGGTCCTGCATTTTGAGTACCTTAAAATTTCAGGGCCGTAAGATATCAGGGATCCCCACAAGAAGGACCATCATTTAGAAAACTCACCATATCGGATCCTTAGACCCTAAGCCCCGAACCCCAAACCCCAAACCAAAAACCCTATACACCCCAAGCCCCAAGCCCCAAGCCCCAAGCCCCAAGCCCCAAGCCCCAAGCCCCAAGCCCCAAGCCCCAAGCCCCAAGCCCCAAGCCCCAAGCCCCAAACCCCAAACCCCAAACCCAAACTAAACCCTAAACCCCAAACCCTCAACCCAACACCCAAACCCCAAACCCCCAACCCCAAACCCCACACCCCCAACCCCAAACCCCAAACCCCAAACCCTAAACCCTGAACCCTAAACCCTAAACCCTAGCCCTAAACCCTAAACCCTTCAGGAACCTTAGGCAACAGCGCCTGGCAGGCCCTTCGCTGAGGGCGTGGACACCCAGGGGCTGAAAGACTCCTTCGATGAGAAGGCAGGTTCCGCCACTCCTTGGGTGGGGTTTAGGGTTTAGGTTTAGGGTTTAGGGAGTTTAGGGTTTAGGGAGTTTAGGGTTTAGGGAGTTTAGGGTTTAGGGAGTTTAGGGTTTAGGGAATTTAGGGAGTTTAGGGAGTTTAGGGAGTTTAGGGAGTTTAGGGTTTGGGGAGTTTAGGGTTTAGGGGGTTTAGGGTTCAGGGGGAGTTCAGGGAGTTCAGAGAGTTCATGGAGTTCAGAGAGTTCAGGGAGTCTAGGGAGTTTCGGGAGTTTAGGGTTCAGGGCCGCGTTTGAGGAGTCTAGGGTCCAGGGAGTGTAGGGTTTTTAGGGTTTAGGGAGTTTAGAGCTTAGGGTTTAGGGAGTTGTGACTTCTGAGGCTACGCATAGGTAAGTAGGTTCCATGATGGGTATCCGCTCCATGTGAAAGTGTGAGCACCTAGCCCTCAACCCTAAACCCCCTAAACTCCCTAATCCCTGAATGCCCTGCAGCCCAAACGGCCCCCTCCATCCCCGGATGTCAGACCCCAAGACTGAAAAAAAAAAACCCTAAAAACCTAAACCCTGATTCCCTAAACCCTAAACCCTAAACCCTTAACCCTTAAACCCTAAACCCTAAACCCTAAACCCTTAAACCCTAAACCCTAAACCCTAACTAAGCTCCAAACCCTCTGCACCCTGCCTGGACAGTCACTTCAGCTACTGTTGGGTGCACCAATGGTCAGTGGCTCTGAACGATGGTCCCTTTTTGGGTACCCTGAACAATCGGGGCCGCCTGATACTAAGGACCCCAAACGGGGACCATATTTTGGAGAACTCAGATATATCCATATATATATATATGCTCATATATATATATATATATGTGTGTGTGTACTTTTTGCATACATGGTGCCTTACCAGCATTATTGGTGAGTGTCTAACTGGGTCTCCTTTCGGGGCTACGAGTCCTTTTAAGACAGACATGTACGTCGTACCATGTCATTACTCTTACTGTTTCCAAGCGAACCCTAAACCCTAAACCCTAAACCCTAAACCCTAAACCCTAAACCCTAATAAATGGAGGTTTGGGTCAGCTTTCCGGAGTACGGCAGCCGCGTGGTCCTCTGGCAACAGTTCATGGAGGACGGCTGCGCTCTCCTAGGACCCGGAGTAGGCCCTTATTCCCTTTTTTTAGAGTTTAGGGTTTAGGGTTCAGGGTTTAGGGTTTAGGGGTTAGGGCTACTAGGACCCGGAGTATGCCCATATTCCCTGTTTTTCGGGTTGGGTTCCCTTATAATCCCCGTAAGACCAAAAAGGGCACCCTTTCTGTTCCTAGGTTACGTACTCCTGGGTCTAGTCTCTTGTGGCATCTTGAACGCTGGGGTACACCGTATACAGCTTAACGCCCTGGCAAGAAGCTCTAAACCCTGCGTTTATGTTTATATGTACACACATATATATATATATATGTGCATGCATATATGTGTGTAACATGTGCTATAGATATACATATGTATGTATGTATATATATATATATATATATATATGCATGTAGAAGCTTCGCCCTAACCCCAAAAAACTAGCAGCCAGGAGCACGGCGTCACAGTCGACACCAGCAAGCTGAACATCTCCACCTTAGCGAGAGCCGTGAGCTTGTTGAGATGGTTTGGAGGGTTTAGGGTTTGGAGAGTTTAGGTTTTGGGGTTTAAGGTTTAGGGTTGCGGTGCATCATAGGGTTTGTAGGCTGTTTTTTTTTTTGGGGGGGGGAGAAAGCTATGCGTTTTATTTTTTTTGTCGGGTTTTGACGGCTTATATTGGATGATTTAAGGCTTTGGGCCAGAAGGCTCAGGGAATGGAATGGCTGGGGTCTGGGTTCGTATTTAGTTATAGGGCCTTGCGGCTTTAAGGTTTATGGCCTCCGCTTTTTTGGGCTGCAGGGGGGGTAAAGGGCTTTGGGTCTCGGAAGCAAGGGTTTTACGGTCTGGGGCTCAGAAGGTTCAGGTTTGAGCCCCATAGCTTCTCGGGCGTTTTAGGGTTTAGGGTTTTAGGGTTTAGGGTTTAGGGTTTAGGATTTTAGGGTTTTCGGGTTTAGGGTTTAGGGTTTAGGGTTTAGGGTTTAGGGTGACCTCAAGTGGGTTTATGGTCCAGATGTCCATGGACCACCTCGAGGAGTCTGCGGGTTTGGGAGAGCCGCGGTGTTCCTAGGTAGGAGAAGGGGGACCCTTAAAAGGGAACCCCTTCTTAACCCTCTTCTGGCTCTCTTAAACAGGGACCTTATTCAGAGGGTTTATATCATCAAGGGTCCTCCTAATCCTATCCCCTAGTTATGGTACGGGCAGTTCTTGAGTATGTGTTGGACGAATCCTGGGGAAAGGATGCAAGGAAGTGTAATATAGGCATCGGAACAGATACCTGTAGTTGTCCCTTATGGTTCCTTCATGGTAGCACGAAACTAAGCCCCCAAAATCCCTATTCTAATTTTTAAGGCCGGTATGGTATAGATCCTAAACCCTAAACCCTAAACCCTAAACCCTAAGCCCTAAGCCCTAAGCCCTAAGCCCTAAGCCCCAAACCCTAAACCCTAAACCCTAAACCCTAAACCCTAAACCCTAAACCCTAAACCCTAAACCCTAAACCCTCCTCCTCCTCCTGGCAGCATCCATTTGACGCTGCAAGACCATACTTGGGTGTTCACGGGTACGTAGTCATAAAAGTAGGTTTAGGGTTTAGTGTTTAGGGTTTAGGCTTTAGGCTTTAGGCTTTAGGCTTTAGGCTTTGGGTTCAGGGTTTGGGGTTCTAGGACCGGGACCGGGAGTAGGCCGTTTTTTTTTTTTTTAGGGTTGGGGTTCCCTTAAAATCCCCTTAAAACCAATAGGGGCACCCTTTTATTCCTAGGTTACTCCCGGGTTGAGGTTTAGGGTTCGCCTAAAGCCCAAAAACACAGAGCTTTGAAGCCCCACCCCTAAACGCACCAAAGCCTCCGAAACCACGGGTCAGTGAGGGCCGGGCCTTGAACCCTAAACCCTAAATCCTAAACCCTAAACCCTAATCCCTAAACCCTAAACCCCAAACCCTAGACCCTAAACCGAAACCACAGGTCAGTGAGGGCTACCCTGCAGGCTCCATCAAGCAGACGGCGGGCCCTGCAGGGTTCAGGGGACGAGGGGTTTAGGGTTTAGGGCTAGGGTTTAGGGTTTCGGGTTTAGGGTTTTAGGCATTGTAGGGTTTAAGAATTTGGGTTTAGGGTTTAGTGTTTTGGGATCAGGGGTCTTAGGGATTGCACGGTTTAGGGTTTAGAGATTGTAGGGTTTAGGGCTTCGGGTTTGGGGATTGTAGGGTTTAGGGTTTAGGGCTTAGGGTTGTAGGGTTTATGGTTTAAGGATTAGAGTTTGGGGATTGTCGGGTTTAGGGCATACGGTTAGAGGTTTGGCGTTCAGGGTTAGGGCCTCAGGGCTTTTATTCAGGATTACAGGGTTGAGGGTCTTAGGGATTGAGGGTTTAGGGTCGCAGGGTTCGTAGGGTTACTGTGGAGTGTAGGCTTTAGGTACATAGGGACCAACTCCCCCCCCCCCCCCCCCCCCCCCCCCCCCCCCCCCCCCCCCCCCCCCCCCCACAGAAAACCCAAAACGGATAGGACTCCAACACCCAAAAGGTGGGATGCTCAGCTTCTAAACCCTGCCCTACACCCGACCTCAAAATCGTCACTTCTCGAAAAGGTTGTCCCTTTTTGGGTCCTCATTATCAGGCGACCCTTCTGATCTAGGGTTCCCACCAAGGGGCCATAATTTAGAGAACTCAAACTGTTGCTTATGTAGACCCTGTAAACCTAAGCTTGAGTGTTTGGGCTTAGATTAACCGACATCGTTCTCTGAAGTCTTGGTGTAAGGTTAGGGTTTGGATAGGGTTTAACGTTTAGGGGGGGATTAGGGGGTTTGGGGGTCGTTAGGGGGGGCTTAGGGGGGGGTTAGGCCCGAAGCCCTGGACCCTAAGCCCTAAACCCTTTCCCCTTTCCCCTAAACCCTAAACCCAAAACCCTGAGGGTTTAGGGCTAGGCGGGGCCATAACAGACCCACGCGTTTTCGGAAGTTTAGCTCTGTTGCCCTCAGAATCCCCTGCAAATACCGATGTTTCCTGGGTTTCGCCCATCACCTCATCCCCGCAATTTTCATCCAAAATTATCCAACAATTTTTTGGGCATCCGTAGACTGCACTGGCGTTTGTGGGTTTTTTTGCACTACTTCGCACTTTTGACGTGTCCTAAACTAAGCCCTGTCTTGCTTGCATCCGCTTCTGCCCAGCCCTGGGTCAAAATAACACGTTTGCTTCACCATAGTTAGAAGAGAGCATCCATGGCCCAACCATGATGACGTCCATAGTCTAATCCGTTCTGGGAAGAGAGCATCCAGGGTCCAAGCATGATGACGTCCATGGTCTATTCTGCTCTGATGAGAAGAGAGCATCCATGGCCCAAGCATGATGACGTCCATATACGTCCATGGTTTACATCGTCTAATCCGTTCCGGAAAGGTTAAACCTTCTTCTGGGCAGAAATGGCTGGAAGTTCTTGCTTTTAGGCGCACTGGGGAGCAGAAAGGCGTCATTTCTCAACACTAAAGGCGGTGACCTAAGTCCTGCATCTCAGGTTTGCTGGTGGGGCCACAGTTTTGCGCGGGTCTGTTGTGGACCCGCCAGGGTTTAGGGCGTCGGTTGTGCGCAGATCGACCGGGTGCTGACCGCGCGGCGCGTGCAGCAGCTGAAGAACCGTCCGCTCAAGGCTTGCGGGCGCTTACCGAGTCCCTAAACCTACACGCACCCTGACCCAGGGTTGGCCCTTATTCCCTTTTTTAGGGGGTTTAGGGTTTGGGGTTTGGGGTTTTAGGGTTTAGGGCTATGGTCCTAATCCCGACACTCCTCACGAAGCAAAGCAAAGCTCGACACGAAGTCCTCTAAATATCGTGTCAAGATTTTATTCTTCCCTCCGGTGCACCCACCTGTAACTTGGAGCCTACAGTTCTTTGGGTTTTGGTTTTGGGGGGGTCAGTTCTTGAAGCCACATACAGATCCCCCTTAAAATGCCAATATGTGGCAGCCCTTAACCCTGATCTCCCACCCTGAACCCTACATGGAGTTCAGAGGCATCAGAAATGGGTTAGGGTTTAGGGTTTAGGGTTTAGGGTTTAGGGTTTAGGGTTTAGGGTTTAGGGTTTCTCCAAAAATGGGAGCCGAATCCTCGGCCCTCAAAGGCCCCAAACCGACAACTCACGCCGACAGCAAGACTTCTAGAAGCCTCTGCCCTTGCGAAACCTCCCGAAACCCTCAGCCCTAAGCCCTCAACCCCACCCCAAAATCACCCTAAACCCTAAATCCTAAACCCTGAACCCCAAGCCCTCAACCCTAAACCTCAAACCCTAAACCCTAAACCCTGAACCCTGAACCCTGAACCCTGAACCCTGAACCCTAAACCCTAAACCCTAAACCCTACCTATCTTGCGGCAGGTCCAGGAGTTCATTGGGCCATTGTCGCGGACGTCCTTCTGCTGGACCCAGTTCCCCCGAGACTCCACATGTAGATTTAGGGTTTAGGGTTTAGGGTAAAGGGTAAAGGGCTCCCCAAAACCCAAACCCGAAACCCCAGCCCTAAACTTTTGTTTCTTACACATGTAATACGGCTTACCAAGCCGTAAGTGCTTGAACCCTAGGCCATGTCCCAATTGCAAGCAGACATGATTCCTTCCTTGATTTGTGAGGGGGTTGTAGGGTTTGCCCTAGTTGAGCCGAACGTGTCCTAAACCCCGGACTCTTACCCTAAACCCTAAACCCTGAACCCCAAACCCTAAACCCTAAACCTTGAGTCTTTGCAGGAAGGAGGAGCTGGATCAATTCCGCGAGTTCGACCACCTCGTTACCGGTGAGAAGGCCCCAATTATGGGACGTCCGACGTTAGGGTTTAGGGTTTAGGGTTTAGGGTTTAGGGTTTAGGGTTTAGGGTTTAGGGTTTAGGGTTTAGGGTTTAGGGTTTAGGGTGGCTTCAGGCCCAAATCAAGCTTACACAGAGGTGATTGTTGGATACAGTATAGTAGTAAGGCTGGGTGAAGTTGGGGGGGGGGGGGGGGGGGGGGGAGCGCATAGTATAGAACCCGACAAAATCAGCTGGAACTCAGGCAGTATGAAGGCATTGTGAGTACTTCCCTAAACCCTAAACCCTAAACCCTAAACCTTAAACCCTAAACCCTAAACCCTAAACCCTAAACCCTAAACCCTAAACCCTAAACCCTAAACCCCTCCCAACTCCTCAAGCCACTCCGTGCAAGGCCAGAGAAGAGGCGAAGAACGCCCCGCCCGAGGCCGCTCGTGTTGAAAAATTCCGCACGGACTCCTGAGCCCAGTTTAGGGTTTAGGGTTTAGGGTTTAGGGTTTAGGGTTCCAGCATCCAGCGTCTAGACCCCTACTTCCGGACAAGGGGCGCGCGCATTCTTCCCCAAGCACCGCCCTCAGCCCTCAACCCCAAATCCCCAAAGCCCACCTACACAGTGCTGGGATCGGATCCCCTTCTAGGAGCCGAAGGAGGCCCTTATTCCCTTTTTTAGGGTTTAGGGTTTAGGGTTTAGGGTTCGGGTTCTCTTAGAAGCCCCTTCTAACCAAAAAGGGTACCCTTCTTATTCTTATAGGTTACTTTTGGGTATAGCCTTTTCAGGTCCCCACGACAACACCCAGGCCAACAACTTCTGCCAACCTCCCTCCCGCACAAAGCAGAACGCAGCCCACTACCCAGGTGCCCTTTCAGAGGGGCTAAGTGTACCTTACTTGGTGGTACTTCGGGGTATCTTGAAGGATACTTCGGGGCCTGGGTGGGGTTTCCGGGATTTAGGGCGTTCCTCTTTTTCTCAGGACGGAGATTCCGTATAAACGTCCTGTAGGCCCTGGGCCCTAGAACCTTGCAGGGCGGAGGGCCCGTTCCTCGGCCCGTTGACTCGGATGCCCAGTCAGGTTGGAACAGCTCGGGTTTAGGGTTTTGGGTCGAGGGTCTAGGGTCTAGGGTCTGGGTTCTAGGGTCTAGGGTTTAGGGTTTAGGGCTAAGGGTTTAGTAGGGTTTAGGGTTTTTGGGTCTAGGGTTTAGGGCCCCCTGCACCTCCCAAACCCAAGCCAGAGCCTTGCCAGTGCCAGGCCTCCAATCCGAAGAAGGGCGGCAAGAAGGGGAAGGGCAAGTAGTGGGCAAGGCTCGCGCGCGGGGTTTAGGGTTTAGGGTTTAGGGTTTAGGGTTTAGGGTTTAGGGTTTAGGGTTTAGGGTTTAGGGTTTAGGGTTTAGGGTTTAGGGTTTAGGGTTTAGGGTTTAGGGTTTAGGGTTTAGGGTTGAACTTCGGTGGTAGGGTTGGGGGGTTACGCCCCTGATAAGCCCGGCACACACAAGATCCTCAGGTTCGAGTCCTGGACATCACCCGGAAGCAGCGAATCGGCAAAACACCCCCTCAACCCTAAAACCCCTCAGCCCGGCTGCCTAAACCCCTGAACCCCCTAAACCCCGAAACCCTAAATCCCTAAACCTTATACTTGTGCACCTTGAACCCTAAACCCCTCAATCGCTAAACCTCTAAATCAAGGGCTTCAGACTCCTACCCCTAAGGTTGTACCGTACCCCTAAAGGCTTCCCTGAATGTACTCCTAATATGGCCCTTCTACTACCTTAAAGGGGTCCTCAAAACCCGGGGGTGCAATCGTAAGTTTTAGGGATGATTAAGCCCAGTTAAGGGGTTTTTAAGGGGGGACCTAGGGGGGTAGTAACCCAAGACCCTAAACCCTAAACCCTAAACCCTAAACCCTAAACCCCAGATTAAGGGTCCAAGGTACAACCCCTAGACTAAACCCTTTAGACCTTCGAACTTGGGAGCCGCCATGAAGCTCTACATCGACTGTATCGATAGCGTCCTCCGAACCGAGTCGCCAGCACCCTTGCGCCGGCTGCAGTGTCTAGGGTTTAGGGTTTAGGGTTTAGGGTTTAGGGTTTAGGGTTTAGGGTTTAGGGTTTAGGGTTTAGGGTTTAGGGCTTACCGGGGATGAAGGCATGGAGCTGACGACGTCTCTTTGCAACGAACACTCCAGCAGCTTTCGAGAGAGTGAGACCGTGCAGGTGCGCTTGCTTACGGTTTAGGGTTTAGGGTTTAGGGTTTAGGGTTTAGGGTTTAGGGTTTAGGGTTTCTACTTCTTTTCGATGTGGAGGAAGCCAGATCATGGTCGACGAAGAAGAAGCACAACTGTACCGTGCCTGGGAGTACATGGAAAATCCTCTGGCCGAGCACAGCGATGACTTGGAGAACGGTTTGCACACCGGAAGTCTCTGTTGTCGACGTCATCAACTACCCGCCGACCGCTCTCCCTGAACCCTAAACCCTAAATCTTAAACGGGCTTCAGGGGTTAGGGAGGAGAAGTTTTGAAGGGACCCCTTGGGGCATTCGGGAACCTATGCGGGTCCCTGGCTATAGGGTAATTTGGGGTTTACGGGGGGTGGCGGACACCAAGTTTTCAGAGTAGTCCTACAGGACCTTGAGTTCAAACTTACACGCTTCGGGTGCCGAGAGGTATACGGCATATATAAGTATAGTGCGCTTCAAGGTAGTGCTGGTTTTGCCCCGAGGATCCTGAATGCGATATAAGGCCTGCGATGCCGGCGGTTGAGGAATTTTGAGCTTAGGGACCCTAAACCCTCAACCCTCAACCCTAAACCCTAAACCCTAAACCCTAAACCCTAAACCCTAAACCCCATACCCTGAGGCGTTGAACCTTTTGGGGAGGCTTGGAGAGCCCTCTGATAGGTTGCTGGCAGGCTTCGCTTGAGGGATCATAGGTGCCTACGCCCCTCCAATTTTTCCACCAAGAGTCGTTAGGGTTTAGGGTTTAGGGTTTAGGGTTTAGGGTTTAGGGTTTAGGGTTTAGGGTTTAGGGTTTAGGGTTTAGGATCTAGGGTTTTGGGTTTAGGGTTTAGGGCTCAGGTTTCTGCAGCAACCCTAGCCCATAAACCCTAAACCCTGAGCCCGAAGAAGCCCTAATTGCTCTTTGCTGTGAAGTCCTTGACCAGGCCCCGTGATGAAATTCGACTCCATCTGCATGTCGTTCGTTATGGCATACCGGGGTGGCTGAAGGTTGGCGCTTTAGGAGCTTTATCGGCTTATTGCAAGAATGAGAATACTGAGAACCCAGGATCCAGAGTAGGCCCTTATTCCCCTTTTTAGGGCTTAGGCTCCTTTCGGAGCCCCTTTAAGCCAAAAAGGGCAGAAGTTTTCTTCCTAGATCACTCTTGGGTCGAAAAAATAAGAAGAATGATAAGACCACTAAGACAAGCAAGCCGTTGAGGGTGAATACAAAGATCCTGACACGTCCCCTGAAAACGAGGTTGGAAATTCCTTGAGAGGTCCTGACACTGCACTGGCGCCCTGATCGAGAATGATGATCGACAATAAAGCGCCATAGTTTTCGTTACTAGTGTTGATTCCGTCAATCTGTTGTTTCTCAGTATTTTTGGGTTCCTGGCCCTTATGTTTTAATTTGCCATGCTATTCTGTGCACTGCCCTTCGAGACCCTAAACCCCTCAAGGGCGTACGAATCAGCGCCCTGCTGCCCCCTCGGTGCCCATGTCTCACTGAGTCTGAGCGCACCTCTGCAGATCGTAGTAGGCGTCAGGATGCGAAGCACACGAATTTAATCTAGGACCCAGACTAGGCCCCAACTCCCGTTTATATGCCCCTTTAAGCCAAAAAAAGGGTACCCTTTTTATTCCCTTGGGTCCTCCTCGGTCTAGTTATGGTTTGAGGCTCCTAGAGCTGATGTTTGGATAGGTCCAGGAGAGCGTCCGAGTTTCAGCCTCCAAGCTGCAACCCTAAAGTTCCCCCCCCCCCCTCCCTAAGCTCCCTTCTTAGGGTTTAGGGTTTAGGGTCTAGGGTTTAGGGTTTAGGGTTTAGGGTTTAGGGTTTAGGATTTTCTCAACAAGGCTTGCCTCCACTGTGCGATATGGAGGGCTTGGGGTTTGGGGTTTCGTGTCATGTCCGGAGGTCTTCGACACGGCATGCTTCGCGTGAAGCTTGCTAAACCCTAAACGCCAAACGCTGAGACCCTACTTTTCTGGGTGGTAGGTAACCTTGGGTTTGGGAGCTTAGGGTTTGACACCGGAGTTTAGGGTGTGGGGTTTGGGGTTGAGGGTTTAGGGTTCAGGGTTTAGGGTTTAGAGTTTAGGGTTCAGGGCATACCTTGCTAGTCGCTGGGGGGCTCAGTCTAGGCGAAGCCATTGGTAGATTTCCACCTGTTAAAAGCCCCTAAACCTGGAATGCTAAATCCACACGGCCTAGATGCTTCCCCTAAACCCTATAACTTAAACCCTAAACCCTAAACCCTAAACCCTAAACCCTAAACCCTAGGGTTTGTGACGGATGATATCGGGCGAAAAGCTGGTGCCGCAGCACGTCTCTGACAAAGTCGAGACATTCATTGGCCTTGTGCCCACCGTACTAGGAGCCTCATTAAGATTAGGGTTAGGGGTTAGGGTTTAGGGTTTGAGCTGGGTCTTGTGGACAAGCATTTTAAATTTTCATGAATACTTAAACCCAAGAAGGAACAAACATGATCATTTTCAAATCGCACCCCAACAATGGTGCAGTTAGGTTTCGGTGTCTGAGAGTCGACTGAAGCCTCAAGCCCCCTAAACACCAAAGTCCAAAAAGTAGTCGATCGTAAATCCCCTAACCCCTATCCCCCCAAAACTCTTGAGACTTTATAGAAGTCTTCAGCCCCACTTTGAAGGCCCGATCCGGCGGGTGCCCTGAACAATAGACCCTAGACCCTAAAAGGCAACCCAAAAAGCTCAGCCTTATAAACCCTTAAAGCACTTGTAAGCCCCAACAAATCCCTAAACGCTATGAACCCTATGAACCTTGTGAACCCTATAAACCCTATGAACCCTATGAACCTGAACCCTAAACCCTAAACCCACAACCCACAAGCCCTGAACCTAACCCCAGCCCGAAAACGCTAGCCCTCAACTTGAACGGTTTTGGGTTTAGGGTTTAGGGTTTAGAGTTTAGGGTTTAGGGTTTAGGGTTTAGGAGGGTGCACGCTGGCCATGCAGGTTTCACCCTGAAGCGTGGGCCCGCCTCGGCAGTCCTCCCGGGAAAAAAAGCACTTCCGGCAGCGCAGGTTGGGTTTAGGGTTTAGGGTTTAGGGTTTAGGGTTTAGGGTTTAGGGTTTAGGGTTTAGGGTTTACGGTTTAGGGTTTACGGTTTAAGGGTTTAGGGTTTAGGGTGTAAGGGTTTAAGTGTTTAGAGGTTTAGGGTTTGGGGTTTGGGGTTTAGGGGTGTAGGGGATTAGGGGTGTAGGGGCTTAGGGTTGAGGGGTTTGGGGTTTGGGGTTTAAGTTCCGTTTTGGGGGATTCTGGCTGGGGGGGAGTGTGTGGGTAGTTCTCTGCATCCCCGATACGCCTGCAAGTCTGCGATTCAGGATTTGGGGTTTAGGGTCGAGGTTTGCCGGGCCCTAAGCCCTACCCCCCCCCCCCCCCGAAGCTCCCTGCGCTCTTTCCAGAACTTACCATGTGTGTAGGGCCCGTATAATTGGTTTACCTGGGAAACTCATGTTTTACGTGAGGCTTCAGGACAGGTAACAGTCCGCAAGAGTCTACTTTGACCCTAAGCTCCATCAACGCACACACCTATTTGCAGCCGGCATGGGCAACTCGGTTTAGGGCTCAGGGCGTTTAGGCATTTATCTTTTGGAGGTTAAAGTGTAACATTTAACCTGGGCCCATTAAACTCGTGTCTTGCGTTAGGCCCTGGGCTTCTGGAGGGGTACGAGTTCTACATTAACCCCAAGCTCCATCAACTTACGCACCCATTTGCCCCAAAACCCTTAACCCCTACTCGAACCCGTACACCCTAAACCCCTAACCCAAAAATCCGAAACCCTAATCCCTAAACCTAAAACCCTATAAACCACCCTAAACCCTAAAACCTAAACTCCAAACCCTAAACCCTAAACCCTAAAACCCCGAGCCTTCCGTCGCACCTCCTCCTCAAGCGACTCCGCGAGCGAACCCCTACGCTTCCTGCGACTCCATGCCTGAAAACTTCCCCCGGAAGTGTACAGGTTTAGGGTTTTTAGGTTTTAGGGTTTGGGGTTTAGGGTTTAGGGTTTAGGCATTTAGGGTTTATGCATGAAGCTCGGGGATTCTTCCTAAAGCCTACAGGCTTAGACCCTGGTGCCACCTTGAGTCTGAGTGGCGTTCTGGGCCCCGAGCCCTACACCCCCTTTTTGGTGACTTTAAGACAACCCGCTGACCCTGAAGGCGTGCGAGCCTTACCCTGGTTTAGGGTTTAGGGTTGAGGGTTTAGGGTTTAGGGTTTAGGGTTTAGGGTTTAGGGTTTAGGGCTTACAAGCCTAACCAGCACCTAGACTCTTCAGCCCTGGACCCGTAAGACCTGCAAAAGCATCTGCAGCACGCCGAACGGCGTATGGAGGCTTGCCTGAATCTTGATTGATTATAACTTTATACAAAACAATTCTATACCCTACTGTAAACCCTAAACCCCAAACCCTAAAAGCATATATTGAAGAGCTACGGTACCCCATGAGGGCCGGCTGTGAGGTTCAGGGCTCGAGGGCTTCACGGTTTAAGGCTTTCGAGCTTTAGGGTGTAATATCTGAACATGTATGAATATTCATATGTATCTGTGCATACATACATATATTCATACATACTATATATATATATATATGTATATTCCCATATTCATTCTACTACTTCTAGGAATAAGATTTTGTTATTAGGAGTAGTGTACAGGGTGGGGGGGGGGGTTGAAGTGTTGGGCTTCGGGCTAAGGCTATAAAACCGTCGTCTACAAGGCATGACGAAGTATCAACAGGTCCTGGTGCTCCAGAAGCACGACAACACAATTTATCTATGGCTGTTGCGTGCGAAACCCGCAGAACAGTTGAGGGTTCAGGCGCAATACCCGCAATACCAGCATGGAATGAGGTACCCAGAATCCGACTAAACAGGTGTTTGTGTGCTTCCTTCCAGAAGAGTACTACCTATGGACCGCCTGGGTATAGTGCAGCATGCCACAAGGTCCCAAGCTGAGCATTCTTTCATAACCCAGACAGTCCATTTGTAGTACTACTATGGAGTTAGGTACCTCAAAACCCTATTTAGTATGGTTGTTGGGTACCTAATTCCATAGCAGTACTACAAATGGACCCTCTGGGTAACTTCGTAATGGGACGAGTGCTGGATGATGTGTTTTGTCCTCCTTCTGACAAGGTCGATGCTCTTCATTCTCGTTTTGGCAAAAGTGTGAACGTTAAGATCCTGGGTTGTCGCCTATTCCCATGTAAAAAATGGTACTCGTAACTTTTGAACGAAGGAAAATCCCTTGAAGCCATCGGTTTGGTATTCTTTCCAATACAACATGCTTCGTGCGCGCTCATGTGTGTGAACTTAACCGTTGGAGCGATGTAGGAGAAGTAACGAAACCTCAACCTTAAACCCTAGCACGAAGACCCCCAGACTGGCCCCCAGACGCTTTGCCAGGCTCCCGAAGCAGGCAGATGATGAGCTCCTTCCCCAGGCAAGGTTTCAGGGTTTAGGGTTTAGGGCTCAGGGGCCTCGAGGGGGTTTCGGGGGTCTTAGAGATGGGAGAGAGGTCCGGGAAATTTAGGGTCTGGGTGGTTTTGGTGGCTTCTTGTTGGGGAGGATTGGCGGAAAAAATGCTTGGTCTTGGGTTTGTTCGGGTCCTGGGTGCTTTGAAGGGGGTTTTTTCGGAGACAACCCAGTCCAAAGCACAGAGGGTCCTTCTTGGTAGCTGACTGGGACCCTGTTGCCCTTGTTGGGTTTTTGGGCTCCCTTATAAAACTGCTTCACACCAAAAAGGGTACCCTGATTGTAATATGGCTACTGGGCTACCCAGCCTTATAATACGAGCCTAAACCCCAAACCCTAAGCACAACGTTCATTTCTACGGGCGTACTCCCGAAGACTGCCTAAACTTTTTGTGTAGAGTTTAGGGTTTAGGGTTTGGGGTTTTCCGTGGGTAGCGGGTCGCCCTAGACTATAAACCCTCACCCTAAATCCTCCCCTCCTTTAAGGACCCTCTACAGAAACCCCAAAAAAGTTGGAACATACTTATCCCCCTACCCCAAAAGGTATACGAAAGGGAATCCCAGCTCTAGTCATCCTTGAACCATGTTCCAACTTTCTGAACTTTATTGTAAGTAACTCACGTGAGGACATGGTCTGGCCTGTTGGCCATGGCTACCCTGGCCCAGGCCCAACTCTCGGGGTTGTTTTTGGGGTTCAGGGCTTCGGGCTGTTGGCTTGTAGAGTCTCGCTAGGGTTTAGGGGTTTGAGGCTTCAGGCTTAGGGCTTAGCTTATAGGGTTTAGGAGTCCTTAACTCTAGACCCGAAACCGGGTTAATTAGCTGTAGAGACCCGAGGGCGTGCTCTGCCAGCTGTTCGGAGCGAATTTGGGGCTTCTTGGGTATAGGGACTGCACTCGAGGGGACGAAGCTTGAAGGGCTCAGGGTTGGTGCTTGAGGGTTCTTGGCTTCCAGGCTGGTGGGAATCCAACCTCCCCTGCCTCCCTCACCCCAACGCCCACCCCCTGCCTCGCCCTCTCCCCACATATCACACCCGAACCCTGAACATGTGGATCATGTTAGCCTTCTGCCGCCCGGCTAGGATTGTTTGAAGTTTTGGGTGCAGGGCATTGGGACACCGGTAGGGCCGACACCATACTCGAATCGAAGCTTGAGAGGGGTTTAGGGTTTAGGCTTTAGGCTTTAGGCTTTAGGGTTTGGGAATGTAACATCGACATATATGGCCTGGCAGCAGTGAGGGCACCGCAAGATTCCGAATCCAAGATGCGGACAGCCATTTGCATTCTGGAGGGCAGGGCTGCCTGAGAATGGTATGCCATGACTCGCGCAGCTCCGAGTAATGACAGGGGCTTTTTGAGCCCCTGCACAACCTCCGCAAGCCAGGAGCAGAACAGCGGGGGGGGGGGGGGGGGGGGGTAGAGCTTGTCTAGCACACCCTCAACCCTAACCCGGCTGATCTGAGCCCAAAACCCCCTGAAACCGGAGCGTTCAGCCAAGAGCCCAAGACCAACGCGGAGTCCCTCAAAACCCTATAGGCCCAAAACTCTAGAACCCCCCAAACCCTGAGTCCCAAACCCCCCAAAATTCCTGAAACCCTAAACAGCCTCAAAGCCTAACACCCCGAGACCCTAATTAAACTAATTCAACCCCCAACCCCAAAACCCAGAATCCTAAAACGCCAAAACCCCAGAACCCTAAAACCCGAAACCCCCAAGCCCCCCAAAACCCCCAAAGCCCTAAACCGCCCCAACTTTAGAAATCAGGTCAGAGGGCAGGGCTGGCTCTGAAAAGGGCAAGGTCCTGCAGGCATACAGCCCTCTCTCCCACTTGATCAAGGCAGCAGGTGAATATGAGACAAAGCAGCCCACCAAGATGTCCGGCCTTAGGTCCAGAAAAGCTGGCATCATTAATTTGGTGGACACCATTTCAGCCAACATCAATAAGGCTGGTGGTCTCAGAATCGAAGTGAGGATGAGAGCTGGCATGGGCAGCAGCACCTGCCAGAGGACCTTGCCCAGGCAAAGCAAATCCTGGCGAGGGTGAGGGGCCTCATGTGTGATGGTGCCATCAGATTGAAGTGCATCCCAGTCGACTCCTACTTGGATTTCATCCAGAAGGAGCTGGCCTCTGCAATTAACAAGCAAGTGTTTGCTGGCATGAGGAACACTGGCCCTGACCCCAACAACCAAGGCCAGATGCAGAGGTTCGCCAGCAAGGTGCAGAGCCGGAGCTTTCTGATGGCCAACATTGGCCTGGTCTCTGGCCACTTTGCAAGGCTTATCAAAAATGGTGTGTCTTGCCAGGACCACCCACTCAGGTATGTGCCAGCACCTATGGCAGCAGCCCCCATGCCAGCAGCAGGGATGCCCCAAGGTGCAACTGCTGCAGAGGAAGGTGCAGAAGAGGAGGATTTGGAAGAGGATCCTGAGCCCAGGACTGCACCTTCCAGGCATGAGGTGGACCAGAAGGCCCCTGCCACCCATCAGGAAAAGGTTCTGATGGAGCAAATCTCCTTCCAGATCAAGAGGACAAGGGACCTCACGGAGTGGATTGTCTTCAAGTATCTTCCTGGCTGGGGTCCTGAGCAGAACAAGCTGAAGATCAGTGGCTACTACCCCTCCAAGCATGTAGCCTGCAGGGCTATCTTGGAGTGGGCTGGGGACGACTGGAAAAGGAGAGTTGCTGCCAAGGCAACCTCACTTGCCCTTGTTCCAGCCCAGAGCCAGCAGCTGGAAGCAACAGCTAAAGAGGCAAGAATTTCTGCCAGCATCCGAAAAATGAGGAGTGATTACCTGGAGCACCTGGCCAAATTCCTGCCCCAAGATGAAGTGGCCAATGATCCAACAGGGGAGCTCCTGGGCCAGCTAGTAGAAGATGATCACCTCTCCTTGGCTTTGAGTAGATGTGCCACTGAATCCTCAGATGTTTGGCAAGAGACTCTCCAGATGGTCTTGAAGGTGGAGACTGACAGGTGGGAGGGTCATGTAGTCCATTTTGGACCTCAAGCCCTACTGGCAGTTTTGGGAGCACAAAACTTGCAAATCCCAAAAACGGTAGACCGCAAGACCCCAAATTCCTAAACCCCGAAGCCCGACATCCTCCCACCCTAAAACCCCGAAACTCTACCTCCTCAAACCCAAAAACCTAAACCCCAAACACTAAACCCCAAACCCCCAAAACCCTAAACTCCAAATCCTAGACCCTAAGGCCAAGCCTCTTAAACCCCAAAACCCCTAGACCCCCCCAGACCCTAAAACCCTAAACCCCTAAACCCCTAAACCCCTAAACCCCTAAACCCCTAAACCCCTAAACCCCTAAACCCAAAACCCCAAGCTATTCTAGGGACCGCCAGCTTCGGCGACGGCTGCCCCTCTGGCCATGGTACCCGGGCTCGCCCCCGAATTCCGGCTTGCAGTTGCGGTTTAGGGTTTTGGGTTTAGGGTTTAGGGTTTAGGGTTTAGGATAGTTTAGGGTTCAGGATTCAGGGTTCAGGATTTAGGGTTTGGGGTTTTTGGTTTGGGGTTTAGGTTCGAGTTGGGCTTCGAGGCCTTTTCTTCGGGAGGTCCGGGCTTATGGTTTTGAGGGTTCGGGATATACCTGGAGGATAGGGTACTTGTTAACCAATTCTAACTGTACTTATAAACCCTAAACCCTAAACCCTAAACCCTAAACCCTAAACCCTAAACCGCACTTATAAGGCCCTGAAGTGCCCCAATATGGTTAAAAGTACAGGTTATAATAACTGGTCATAAGTACCATGAACCTCCACGTAGGGAGTCATTTGCGTTAGGTTCGTGGCACCGTGGTGGGGGAAGACGGGCTACGAGGCTGCCGTGAATTAAGGAATCTTAAGGCAGATACCATAGTGGGGGAATGAGGGCCATGTTCTTTTGTGGTTGTAGAGGTTTGGAGCTTAAGTAGGGTTTCTTTACTTTATGTGCCACATCATGAGGGATTGGGAGTGTAGGGTTTGAAGGCTCCTTTGGGCGTGGAAATGTCTGTGGCCCCAAACCCTGAACCCGAAACCCTAAGCCCGAAGCCGTAAGCCCTAAGTCCTAAACCCCACGAGCCAAGGATACCCTGGCAGCCACAGCCTTCGACCAGGCCCAAGCAGGAATTGATTTTGTTGATTGAGGTGTAGGCAAGGTTTCGGGTTTTGGGTTGAGGGTTTCGGGTTTGCGGTTGGGTTTTGGGGTTTTGGGATTAAGGGTTTAGGTTTGAGGATTAGGGTTCAGGGTTTGGGGTTTAATGTTTAGGGCCTACGTAAATCTTAAACCCTAAACCCTAAGCCCGGTTTTGCTCAAGAAACAAAATTGCGACGCTGCGCGATCACCTAGCACGTAGACCGCCACTAGCCTCCGCCGCAATCTCTCGAGCACAGCACTTGTTTTTTTATGATTGAAGTCTGCCTGGGCCCTCGAACGGAACCTGTGCACACTTTAGTCGGGTTTAGGGTTTAGGGTTTAGGGTCTAGGGTTTAGGGTTTAGGGTTTAGGCAGAGGCCTTGTTCTGAAGGTGGGTTCGGGTTTCGGGTTTCCGGTTTTAGGGTTAGGGTTTGGGGTTTAGGGTTTAGGGTTCCGGGTTGTCGGGTTGCCGGTTTGCAGGCTCATGGGTAGCTACAAAGGAGGGGTAATTAGACCCCTAAGGACCTCCCGTGTCTAGGGCGGTCTGTTGTAAGGAGTTCATGACTGAACCCCCAAAGCATGTAGTAAAGGATAAACAACAGCCCAAAACCCAGTACAATAGTGTGGGGGCATTACGTAGGTTCTATGTCTAAGGGTAGTTTCACGTGCCCTTGATTTGGTCACCTCTTCAGATTGTTCCTATGTATGGGCCCTTTTTGTTGTACAGGGTATTTAAGGGGTATATAAAGGGTTCCCTTCAAGCGCCCATATTACGAGACCATATAACTACCCTAAGACTATGGCTTCTTTGGGTTGGTGGTCTCCTTAAGTCGGGTCTCTGTAAGTAGGGCCTCTGCTAAATGAGGGGTTCCTATAGGGTATCTTGGGGCTATATTCAGGTAAGCGCCCGCCGGCCTTTATAACTATGGCTCTTGAAGCAGCAGGTCTGAGGGTTTTAGGGTTGGGGCCTTAAGGGGTTTAGGATTCAGGGCTTAGGGTTTAAGGTTTAGGGTTTAGGATCCCAGTCCAGGCGGAGCTGGCTTTGGACGCCAAGGCGCTCACCTTCCACGGCTGTTAGCCCGCCCTAAACCCTATAAACCCCAAACTCCAAAACCCCCTAAACCCTAAACCCGAAATCCTAAACCCTAGCCTTAAACCCTAAACCCTAAGTTTTCTGCCACCTTGACTTTGTTTGAGACGGCTTGTCGGTGGATCGGTGGGCTGGGTGATTGATCTTGCGGATGGAGGTTTGTTGTGCGGTGTAGTGTAGTGGAAGTATGAGGGTCCCTTACCTTCTTAAACTTGAACGGATTCTGGAGTATGGGCCCTTTGGGTTTTGTAGGGGTATAAGGGGCTTATCAGGGTTCCCCAGTTAAGGGCCCAACTTGAGGGACCGTGTAACTACCCTAAGATAGGGCTGTAGGGCTTAGGGTCTAAGGCTTGTAGCAGGCCAGTGGTAGCATGTGGCAGGCTTCAGGTATAGGGTGCATCTGAGCGAGGGTGTGCGCTCGGCTCACCAAAGTGTCGTCCCTGAGGGTTTAGGGTTGAACTTGCTTTGTTGAACTTTAAGCTTTTTCGGTTTCCTTATTTTGTAGGAACAATAAAGTTTAACCTTTTTGTCCCCTTGGTTATTGGAGAAGTAAGTGAATCCCTAAACCCCAAACCCTAAACCCCAAACCTTAAACTCCCACGTTGTCGACTTTCAGCAAGCCCCCAGTCTGGCTTTCTTCTTTTAGGGCTGGGTCCCTTGTGGTAAGACCGTCTTTGAACAACCTTAAGCCCTAAACCCTAAACCCTACACCCTAAGCCCTAAAACCTCAACCCTAAACGTTTGCTCGGGTCTCGGTGTTGCTTTGCAAACCATGCATCAGCGTCTTCAACGTGCTGCACAGCCAGCCGGTTCCGAATGGAATCACAAAATGCAGAAACAGAAATGACAATGTAATAGTGGCTCAGTGCATCAATATAAGAATGGAATGTTAGAATGACATAAGAAAGTAATCTTACAGCAAGACAAAGAATGTAGAAATACAGTATTTCAATCATACGTATACAAGCATGCCGAATTCCCTTCTCAGTACTGCAGTGCAATGCCACGTAATGGAAGCAACCGCAATAAGAAATTGGTAGACGGGAACGGGCGGGTGCAGCCGGACACTCCATTATCACATTTTCCTACTAAGTCATTTTATAATCACCTACTTCTGCAGTTTTCATATGTTGTTCATTGTGTTCTTGTTGCTGTTACTTATATGACTATGTTAAATGTATGTTCTTATACAGTGTATGTTAGTATGTGATATTACTCGTTTATTGCATTATAAGTATATTATCGTATCATAGGATAGAAGTATGACAGTATCAGAGTATTATACTAATATCTCATGTTACCGTGATATGAATATCTTGTTTTATCTGCTTCTATCATTGTACTATGTTTATACGGTTACTCTTCTATGCCAGTAGAGTATCATACTGTTATGTTACTATGACATTATGGTATTTGATGATTGTGTCGCTCTCTGACCAAAAGCACAAATACTTCAAGCCTTGAACACTGTAAGTTTAGATCCTGCCTTCTTTCTGACTTAGAATAGTATGGCAAGGAAGTTGGTAAGAATAGACAGCAACCAATAATAAACAGGGAAACCCTAAACCCCAAACCCTAAACCCTATACCCTGAATCCTGGAAGGCCGACTTCTCCTACGAGCCCTCCCTCCGAGGCACCCGCGCGGCCACCCCACTGCATGGAAAAAGCGGAAGGTTTCAGGGTTTATCGCCTTAGGGTTTAGGGTGTAGGGTTGAGGGTTTAGGGTTTAGGGTGCGGGTTTAGGTTTTGTGTGTGAGGTTTAGGGTATGAGGGCGTAGGGAGAACTGGGTTCAGGGTTTAGCGCTCGAGGGTTTAGATTTTTGGGTTTGAAGGTGATTTCGTTGTTTCTGAGCTTGGGTTTTGAGGGGCTTAGGGTTTAGGGTTTATGGTGCAGCGTTCGTAGCGGCATTTGTTGTGGCCTTCATACGTAGGAGTTCAGAGTATGTTAGAGTTGAAAGTGTCCCGGACCTCCAAGTGAGGTCTACCTGTAATTAGCGCCAACGACCTGCGCATCGTGCTTTTGCGGCACCTAAACCCTAAACCCTAAACCCTAAACCCTAAACCCTAAACCCTAAACCCTAAACCCTAAACCCTAAACCCTAAACCCTAAACCCTAAACTATCCTAAACCCTAAACGTTGTTGCCAAGGCTCCGCATGCATCCGAGATCAACTCGGTGGCAGAAGTGCAGGCGCGGGCATGTTGGAGCGTGACACCTCTAAGGACACCCTTGTGGGGAGTAGGGTTTAGGGTTATAGGGTGTAGGGGTAGTAGTTTCACGAGCCCGTAGTATGGTCCCTAACCTCCTTTAAAGGTTCTGATGTATGTAGCGTATATAAGGAGTATAAAAGGGGTACCCTTTTACGGCCCCATACTAAGGGACCATGAAAGGGACCATGAAACTACCCGAAGACAGACCCGCAACCCCAAAGCCTCAACCTTGAACATTGTACGTGCCATACCCAGGACTGTGCTGATGCTACCCTAAGCTTACCATGAATCCCCAAAACACCTGCAAGCATAAATGCCGTCGAACCCTGGCTTTGGGTTGTAAACCCTAAACCCTAAACCCTCAGCCCGACGCGCAGGAGCTCCCCCCGCCCGGGGGAGAGTTGAGCGCAGTGCAGCTGGAGCAGGCGCCGGGGATGCTGTTGATATCGATTAGGGTTTAGGGTTTAGGGTTTAGTGTTTAGGGTTTAGGGTATAGGATTTAGGGTTTAGGGTTTTGTGTTTAGTTGTTTAGGGTCTCTAAATCACCTGGGGGGGGGGGGGGGTCTAAACCCTAAACCCCAAACCCCAAAAGCCTACTTGAGGGATGATAAAAACCTCGGGTATTGAAAAGTAAAGGGAAGCGCCCCGAAATGATCAGATGTGCGTTCTGCTCGGAAAAACGATAAGAGCAAAAAAGAACGATAACGTTCAGGATACTGCAACAAAAGTCGAGAAAATCACAAGAGTGAACAAGAACAAACACGTAATTCAGGGATATCTTCCGGATAGGGATTTTTCACTCATCCTCACTTGGAGGTTCAGGGTACTTAGTAGGGTTTAGGGTTTAAGGTTTAGGGTTCATTGTTTAGGGTATGGGGTTTGGGGTTTAGGGTTTAGGGTTTAGGGTAGCCCACTATAACTTATAACCGTAGTTATAACCCACGTATCAGCCCCTTAAGTACCCTAATAGGGTCATAGTTGGGATATAAGTACAGTTGTTACTAAGTCAACACACCCGTTGCACCGTGGGATGTTCTCCCTTATGCTAACAGTCCTTAGTAGGGATTGTAGTACGCCCTCATAAAACCCTGTTGAAGACTTTTAGGATAAGGGGGAACATCCCAGGCATACCCCTTAAACGAAATCAGGGGGTATGGTAAAAATCCTTCCGTGTATTCTCCTTGTTAGAGGTTCAGGGGTATGGGTTTGGAGTATGTTGAATTACTCTTAGATACTACGAAGGATAGCAACAATAGTAGCACACCTTTCCTGCAAAAAAAAAAGTTGCTAGTTAGTTTGTACAAGGGGGGGGGATTGTAATCACATGATCTAAGTAAGCCTTGGGACGTTCCCCACTTATACTAACAGACCCTAAACCCTAAACCCTAAACCCTCAACCCTAACCCTAAACTGAACCCTCAACCCTAAACCCTAAGCCGCGAAAACCCAAGAAATGCCAAGCCTCGTCAGGTCCGGCTGGAGCTGGCGCAGGCACCTGTTTCGACCTGCACGGCTGCAGGGTTTGGGGTTTAGGATATAGGGTTTAGGGTTCAGGGTTCAGGGTTTAGGGTTTCGGAGTGCATCGTAAACCCTAACCCTAAGTCTCCAAGAGCTCCTAGTTGAGGGCTGTTGGGGCCTACAGACCTGATTGTATAAGGTTTTGGGGCCATTTTGAGCCTAAGGGCGAACCCTAAACCCGAAACCCCAAACCCGAAACCCTAAGCGTTTAGGGTTTGCAGGGTTTAGGCACCCTGCGCGAGGTTGGGTTTTTTCCCCAGACCCATTTAGGTATATTTCATATCAAGAGTGCAAGTGGGCATTTCCCAGCATAAGGGCCCCCTTTCATATTTCCAAATTTCAAATACTACAAGCCTTATTCTGGGAACCCCCTTAACCATTACCCCCCCCCCCCCCTCTTTTCTGTCGGGGTCAGGGTGGGCTGCCCGAATCCTTGAAACCCAAACCCTAAACCCTAAACCCCAAACCCTATAAACCCTAAACCCTAAATAAACCTCACAAGGGTTATTTTTCCCGGGGCGAGGCCACTGCAGACCAGATGGAAGCCGAGGCTATTGCCACCGAAGAGCCGGGCTCTCAGGCTAGGACCCAGTCGTTTAGGGGTTTCGGGTTTAGGGTTTAGGGTTTAGGGTTTAGGGTTTAGGGTTTAGGGTTTAGGGTTTAGGGTTTGTCCCTTTTAGGGTTGTAGGCTTTTGTTTTGACGTTCTGTGGGACCCGGAGTAGGGGTACTCGGGCCCAGAGCTGTTCCTTTATGGTTTCTTGTTTATCTCCTTATAAGCCCCTGTACGCCGAAAAGGGTACCGTTTTTATTCCAGGCTTTTTTTGGGACTCTTGGGTTCAGTGAAGGTATAGGGTTTCAAAGGTTTGTTTGGGGGGGAGGGGGCTGTTGCTCTTTTTCGTGGGGCCCTTTCTTTGGGCTTCGGGGTTCCGAGGGGGCTGCTGAAAATGGTTGAACCCTCCAAAAGTGCCCTAAACCTTAAATCCTAAACCCTGAGCCCCAAACCCTAACCCTAAACCCTGCACTAAATCCTAAATCCCAAACCCCAAGCCCCAAACCGCACACCCTAAACCCTAAACCCTAAACCCAAAACCCTGACATGTGAGAATTCCCTGAACTCCCTCGAAGTTTTGAGCTTGAACCCCAAGCCCCGAAGCTCCACTTGGAGGTTCATGGGTACTTATAGCCCCAACTATAACTGTAGCTATAAGCCCCCTGAGGCCCCTAAGTCTAGGTTATAACTAGAATTACAATTTATTGGGGTTATGAATGCCGTAAACCCTAAACCCGAAACCCTCAACCCTAATTGGGGTCATAAGTGCCCAACCTCCAAATAAGCCCAAAGCCCTAAACCCTAAGCCCTAAGCGCTAAGCCCTACGCCCTAAGCCCCAGGCCCTAAGCCCTAAACCCTGAGCCCTAAGCCCTGAGCCTTGAGCCCTAAGCCCTATGCCCGAAGCCCGAAGCCCTAAGCCCTGCACGTGGCGTGCCCCGAGGCTACGAAAGGCGGACCGTGCTGCGGAGAGGATACGGCACTTGAAGGCTTTCGGGGTTTAGGGTTTCGGGTTGGGCTTAGGTTTGGGGTTCAGGGTTTGGGCTTGGGTTTAGGGTTTAGGGTTTAGGGTTTAGGGTTGGGGTTGAGGGTTTGGGGATGGGGTTCAGGGTTTCGGGTTTGGACTTTGGACTTTGGGGTTTATAGGCATAGGGCCGAGGGCTGAGTGTTCTTTTTGCTTGGGGCTTAGGTGTTTGCCCAGAAATCAAACGAAGCATCCTTCGTTTCGGGGGTGCCATAGAAGTGTGCTCTAACCCTATACACCCCAATCCCCTGTACACCCTAAACCCCAGACACCCTAGACCCTATGAACCCTGAACTTCTAGACTTCTAAACCCTAAACCCTGAACCCTATAAACCCTAAAACCTCTCCCCCGACCCGCACAGAAGTCTTAGGGCTGCCTCAAATGGAAGGCCCTGGAGCTTTCTGATGGCTTCAAGGCACGCGGCGTCTGCGAGTGTGGGGGTGGCGGGGGGGGGCTGAGGTGTTCAGGATTGGGAGGGTTAGGGTTGGGGGTTTCGGGTTTAGAGGGCTTGGGGTCTGAGGGTTTAGGGTTGTCTAGGGCGAAAACCTACATGGAGGACGGAACTTGGGACACTCTGCCCTCTGCTGCTGGAGTCCCTTCTACCCAAGCCCTAAGCCCTGAACCCAAGTATCTCGCAAGGCCTTTTAGGGGTTAATTCCGTTCACAACGAATCTCGAGTTGGTCATGTGCCTAGCACGGAAGCCCGAAAGATTCCTTTTAGGTTTCACAGGTTTAATAGAATCTGGGGTTGAGGGTTGAGGGTTGAGGTTTTAAGGAGCTCTATAGGTTCAATTCCCTATTTCTATGATAAAAATAAAGCTATAACCATAAAAAAACAAAAACAGTAGTAATAGAAAAAAACGGTGCACATCGGCCATTCTATACTCAACCCTAAAACCTAAACCCCAAACCCTGAACCGTAAACCCCAGTTAAACCCGAAACCCTAAACCCCAAACCCTAAACCCCAAACCCTAAACCCGAAACCCTAAACCCTAAACCCAAAACCCCAAACCCCAAACCCTAAACCCTAAACCCTCCCAGCTTTGAGCTCCGCAGCTGTTCCCTCGGCCCCACGTCATCCCCGGCACTTCTGCGACGCCCCCGATGCCGCGCCAGAGCGCCCGGAGCTCGCGGAGTGCCCCGCAGCGCGCTGCGCCGCCCCCCTCGCGGCTTGGGTTTAGGGTTTGGGGTTTGGGGTTTGGGGTTTTGGGTTTAGGGTTTAGGGTTTCGGGTTTAGGGTTTGGGGTTTAGGGTTTAGGGTTTAGGGTTTAGGGTTTAGGGTTTTTTTTTCGGGTTTAGGGTTTAGGGTTTAGGGTTTAGGGTTTAGGGTTTAGGGTTTCGGGTTTAGGGTTTCGGGTTTCGGGTTTAGGGTTTAGGGTTTAGGGTTTGTGGGGGTCAGGGTTTAGGGATGCGAGGTCTACTCACAGCCGAGACTTTCTTACCCTAACCCCAAACCCTAAACCCCAAACCCTAAACGGTCCCTCCCAGGTATGGGAGCGCAGCCGCGCCAAAGCCCATGGCACAGGCCCCGCCACCAGCGCAGGCTGCCCCCGCCCCCGCGCCCGCCACCGGCGGGGGCATGATGTCCGGCCTCATGGGCTCCATGATGTCCCGAGGATGCGCTGGAGGTTTAGGGTTTAGGGTTTAGGGTTTAGGGTTTAGGGTTTAGGGTTTAGGGTTTAGGGTTCAGGGTTTAGGGTTTAGGGTTTAGGGTACGCCTAGATTGAGCATGAGAATTCCTAATAAGCCCAAAAGACCCTATCTGACAGTCTGGGTGTGTGTGTGTGTGTGTGTGATTTGAGCCGTATATCAAGCCAGGCTAGTCTATTGTTTTTCGGATGCCCAGAAGTCCTTGAGTATGGCGTTGCACTCGAAAGGGCACACAAAGCGGTTTATTTAGGGGGTCGGGTAGGCCAGGCAACATAGGGGTTAGCTAGTTTTTATTTTTTATTTTATTTATTATTTTTTTTTTTTTTTGGGGGGGGGGGGGGTGTTCTTAAGCAAATAGTAGATGGTGGGGTATCTATTGGGACATTCCCCCTTCTACTAACTAACAGTCCTGAATAGGGATTATAGTACCCCCTATTCTTACCCCTCTTCAGGACTTCTCAGTACACGGGGGAACAGCCCAAGGTATCTAGGTAGTCCCAACATCCCTAAACCCTAAACCCGACATTCAACGCACAAAAATCAGGTCTGGCATGGCAACAGGGACGGGCATGGCTGTGGCCAACCGTGCCGTGGATGCCGTGATGGGCCCGCGCCAGACGCTGGGTGTACTTGAACACCGTTGTTGACATGGGGGTTGATAGATGTTGATAGTATCATAAAGGACCGCGAATACAGACCGCCAAATGGCAGGAGCCCCTTATAGCAAGGACCCCAAAAGGGCACCTCCAATATCGAAAACCCCCGTTAACAACTACCTGTGGTGAAGACACCTGAGACCCATTCTAGATCAACGTCCGCAGGAAGTATATGCTTGAAAAGGCAAAAAGGGTCAGTCGTTTCAATGCTTCCTACCTCTCCATGAACATTCGAGGACGGAGGTTGTCCACCGTCATGAAGGTGCTCCCCCCGCCGCCGCTGCCGCCAACGCTGCACCTGCATGCCAGTTCCAACAGGACCCTAAACCCTAAACCCTGAACGTTCACTCTTCTTGGGGCAGTTATTATTTGCTTCTTCCAGTGTTTTTGTTGTTTTTTTTCTGTTGTTGGGTCACCTGTATGGCGCTTGTTGCAGGATCAGCTGGAGCAGTGCATGAAGTCCTCTAGCAACGCAGCGTCGTGCCAGTCCTACATGGATGCATTGAGGGCATGCCAGCAGGGGCAATAAGCTTACAGGGTTTAGGGTTTAGGGTTTAGGGTTAGGGTTTAGGGTTTAGGGTTTAGTATCGCCCCATGAGTGAACTGGCCTGTGTTTAGTCGGTGTCGGCTGTTACAGTACAGAGGTCAGATCAGGTGCTGCGCAACTTCCCTGTCAAGAAGATGTCCTGCCAACGACCCGCTAAGAGATCCAGAAGGTTAAATGCCTGAATCCAACAAATCCAAAAGACCCCCATTGCTCAACCCATTGGACAGAGAAGTTCTCACAAGCCTTTGAGTGCAGAGACCACGCACAGCACGGCGGCCAAAAGTCAAAAACGATTTGGGGGTTTCCGAAATGAAAGGTACTTTTTTGGGGTCCTTATTAGAGTCCTACTATTAGCATATTATATAGGGGTCCCTTACTTTCGTAAACAACCATTTAAGCCCGGAAGAGCAACGATGAGACACTTCAGCATAGCGGGCTGTTGTAAACTGGGATCCGGTGATTGTTACCCTTTGATTTTTGGACACCTTCTCAAAGTTCTCCCCGAGACCTCTGGAGTTTTTGTATGAAGCCCCTGCCTCTGAGGTCTCTGAGCCCGAAACCCTGATTCCCAAAGCCACAGCCGTACACGCAAACCCTAAACAAACCCCAAAACCCCAAACCCTTACGGTCACGGCCAAATGTTCAAGACCTAGATCAACCAAGCCCGAAGCACCTAAACCTAGCCCCGCCCACCGCCCCCTTCAGCGGCACCCTTCTTTAGCAAGGGTGCCACTTTTGATCCTCGACTTTTTTTGGAGGACACTCCTTACGTACATCCCAACTTCCCCAAACCCCAAACAAATCCTAAGCCTAGGACCCTCGAAACCGTAAATCTAAGGGGAGTTGTAGTTTGTATAGGGTATCTAAGGGGTACTCTGTTACGGGCCAGTATACTAAGGGACCATGCAACTACCCGGACCACGGGTGATGGGTTGCCGTGGTGTTTTGTTGTGCGAAAACGTACGTTTTGCCTGGCTTTTTGCATGATTCCTCAAAAATCAGTCTTCAGGATGTACAAAAAAACTACATCAGTTTCTACTATTTTTTTACTGCTACGTTGTCTTTCGGTTTCTGAGATTGAGTGTGCTAGCCCGGAGTGTAAACCCTTAAAGGTCAAGTCTGCAGCCCGTAGAGAAACAAAAACACTGTAAATACCAGTGTTTTGGGCATGGTCGCTAGGGGCAAGGACGCTTGTGAATGCTTTTCTTGTTCCACATCCTTGTGCAGTATGTTGTACCAAGTGGCGAAACTGCTGTAAATACCAGTGTTTTGGGCGTAAATTCCAGTGTTTTGGGCATGGTCGCAAAAGGCATGGACGCTTGTGACAACGTGTCTTGTTCCACAACCTTGGGCGGCATGTTGAACACAGTGGCGAAAACGCTGTAAATACCAGTGTTTTGGGCATGGATGCAATATGAATGATGTTCTTATCCCCCCCCCCCCCCCCCCCCCCCCCCCCGAGTCCATAAGCCTTGGCAAATGGCCCAACTACCCTTAGACTAAATCTTAGGGGAGCTACATGGCCCGTTAAGATGGTCCCTTACCTTGCTTCAAGGCTTCTGAAGTCTGTTTCCCCAATTCAGGGTCCATACTGTATCAAGGGACCCTCTACAAGTTTCCAGGAAATGCCCGTACCTACCCGAAGACTACACCCATATAACGACCCTGAGGATCAAAACCCCAAAGCCCCCCAATGCCAAAGAAAGTCTCAGGTTTAGGGTTTAGGGTTTAGGGTTTAGGGCTGCTACATGGGCCCTTCATATGGCCCCCCTGACCCCTTACAAAAAATAAGGGTTTAGAGTGTAGGGGTTGAGCGTCTAGGCCGAAGAAGGCTAGGGCTTTTGTAGCCGAGATTCGGAGGTGGAACCCCGAATTCTGTGCCCACGTTAGGGACCCTTGTAACTACCCGAAGACAAACCCACCTAAACCCTCAACCCTAAACCTTAAACCCTAAACCCTAAACCCCTAAACCCTAAACCCCAAACCCTAAACTCCTAAACCCTAGACCCTAAACCCGCCAGGCTAGCCGCGCCAGCCGAACCAAGCTCGGCCCCGACCTCCTTTCTCGGGAGCCTGAGGCACTCCTGCCTCCAACAGTGGGGGGGGGGGTTTAGGGTTTAGGGTTTAGGGTTTGGGGTTTAGGGTTCAGGGTTCAGGGTCTCAGGGTTTCAGGGTTTCAGGGTTTCAGGGTTTCAAGGTTTCAGGGTTTCGTGGTTTTGGGGTTTTGGGGTTTCAGGATTTAGGATTTAGGGTTTGGCGTTTAAGGGTTTAGGGTTCGGGGTTTGGGGTTTGAGGTTTGGGGTCGAATTTGTAAGGCTCCCTCAAGTTTTCCAAGTTACCTCTCCCTCGCAACCACCCCACCCCCGCCCTGGTTGAGGTTTAAACTGCAGGGTATAGGGTTCGGGGATCAGGGTTTGCATGGGGTTTTGAGGCTTAGAGTACAGGGTAAAAGGGCTTTGGGTTTAGAGTACCACCCGGCCCGAAACGAGACCCGTGCAAGGTAAGGGAAAAGGGCTAAAACAAACACCCCAACAAAACCCTAAATTTCTTGCAGCTCACTGAATGTTAGTCCGTTTTTTGAATACCCTAAGATCATCGCCCCGTACTACAGCAGCACCCGAACCTTCGCTTTTCGGGAACTAAACCCTAAACCCTAAACCCTAAACCTCAAACCCTAAACCCCAAACCCCAAACCCAAAACCCTAAACCCTAAACCCTAAACCCTAAACCCTAAACCCTAAACCCTAAACCCTAAACCCTAAGCAGAGCTCGAGTGCACCAGGCCCTCCTCATGGTCAAAGACTCAGGGGACGAAGACCCAGCCCAGGGCCCAGAAACTGTAGGGTTTAGGGTTTAGGGTTTAGGGTTTGGGGTTTGGGGTTAGGTTTTGGGGTTTAGGGTTTGGGGTTTAGGGTTTAGGGTTTAGGGTAAACCCTAAAACCCAAACCCTTAGGCCTTAGAGTTTAGGGTTTTGGCCCACCGTCAACACTACGTACCCTTAAACCCCGCCCCCCCCTCCCCCCGCACAAGTCCAAATCCAAGTAAGTCGTATGCCATTGCCAGCATTCTGCCCCTAAGCCCTAAACCCGAAACCGTACACCCTAAATCCTAAACCCCAAACCCTAAGCCCGAAACCGTACAACCTAAATCCTAAACTGCGGTCTAATGTTGGTCCACTTCACACATTCAGGTTGGCCGAGTTGAAGGTGCAACTCGACAAGACACGTTCTGATGAAGTCCCCTTCTAAGCAGCCCCCGGTCCCGAATTTGAGGGTGTGTGTGTGTGTGTGTGTGTCGAGAGAGAGAGAGAGAGAGAGAGAAGGATCCCCCCAACAAGAGACAAAGCTGAAGTGATCTCTATACCCACCATGCAAGAATGTTTATTTATGTCGGCTTTGGGGCTTCTTAACGGCAAATCCAGCAGAGGGAAGGGGTGTGGGGGGGGAGAGTCCTGAACCTTGAGCTCTAAACCCTAGTAAACTCTTAGACCCTAACACAACCCCAACCCCGCAACCCTAAACCCTAAACCCTAAACCCTTAAATACCCCTGAAATCCACTTGGGCATGGGCCCTTCAAGGCCGTGGTGCCTGCTGATGGCACACCCGCGAAGGCTGCTGGGAGGGTTTAGGGTTTAGGGTTTAGGGTTTAGGGTTTAGGGTTTAGGGTTTAGGGTTTAGGGTTTGGGGCCCCGAGGTCTTGCAACCTGAGCCCGACCTGTAGAAAGTCAGAGTCCCAGAATCCGAATTCCAGGCTTGACTCGTTCTGATATACATGTATATATATATATATATATTTATTTATTTATGTATTTATTTATTTAGGGTTTAGGGTTTAGGGTTTAGGGTTTAGGGTTTAGGGTTTAGGGTTTAGGGTCTAGGGTCTAGGGTTTAGGGTTTAGGGTTTAGGGTTTGACTTTTGTAAACCATCTAAAAACCCCTAAACCCCTCTTTGCCAAGTTTGGCACGCTCACATCCAGGTTC